TCTTCTATTTCAGTTTTAGGTTACATGTGCTAAATTAACGTGTGTTTTTGGGTTGTTTGTGAATCATCTTGTTTTGGGATGATTATTACTGTAAGTTTTTCTTTTCCATATCTTAGGATATGCAATCTTTATTCAAAACATATCATTAATTTTAAGTCGCCATGTCTTACCGTGTGCTTGAAGTATTAAATGTATTGTATTTTTCAGTTCTTAATGGAAGTGGCAATCGGAGAGGAAAGATGAAATTGAAATATATGCAGATTCTGTTTTATGCTATTTATATAGTGATTAGGGATTATATATTTAGTTTTGATTGTCACTTCTAGTCTTGTATAGCCTTATTTTTGTCAATCCATTTAGTCATCAGTGTCACAAGTTCAATAATATCAGATGATGATATTGAACGAATTTCATTGTTTCAGTGGATTCACTTGGTGGAAAGGCTTTGATATCGCAGTTGTGTAATTTCTGCATTTATCTTGACTACTTATCTCTGATTTTTTATGTCATTAATTTGTTTGGCTGAAGTCTCATCCTTTAATATTATCATTTCCCTTTTAAAAAATATGAAAAGAGAGATTCTGAAGCATTTTCGATGCAACTGAACGGTTATAATAGTGTTGTTACAAGTCATTGGTATTCCAGAAGACAAGTTTTGTTACAGAGCAAAACAAAGATTTCCTCAGCTGTGTGTGTCTACATTAACAATCATGCAGTGTGTCATGAGATGTATTTTTTCTTTGTAGACATAGTAAAGGATTTCTTATTTTAGTGCAATGAAATTGAATGGAAAAATATATATATTGATTATATTTATATTTAGACAGGACTAAGGTTTTGTTCTTAAAACAGTGCAACCAAGTTGTAAATTGTAACAAGATGTTTTCTAAAAGTTTATGTTTATGCCAGATTTGAATGAAGTAGTGTGGGTTTCCTTTCATGGATTCAAATATCTATTTTTTATATATCATGAATTTCTTTGGGTGCTATCACTATTTTGGTTTATAGTATTTTATACATTAATCAAATATATGAACTGAAAAGTTTGGTTTGGCCTCTAACATTTTTCAGACAAACTCCAAAATTAATGCATTAAATGAATGAAAATATATGAGTCACATTTCTGGTCAACATTGACTGTATGTAAATATATATATATCTATAAAATCAGTGTAACATTTTGAAGAAATAATAGTGTATAAAAAGAGGAGCTTGTTATTATTCACCCCAAAATTGATGCAATATGTATGATCATTAAGTATTTTTATTACAAGTCTGAAGTAGTTATTTAATTTGATAAATACCATAATCAGTGGCACAAATATACACATGGCTGTATTACTGCTTCCTGCGTTATGCATTGATAACACAGGAACTTTTGATAAAATTCTGTAGGAAATCGAGTGTATATATAATAAGCTGAAGTATGCAAATACCGTGAATATGGTTCATTAGCAAAGTATTATTAAGATTTTTGTGTGATTGAAGAATATTCTCAATGCATTTTTGAAGGCCACTGAATAATGAAAAAAAAAAAGTTATTGTAAAATGTTTTATGAATGTAAAATTACTTTTGTCTTTTCAGTGGGTTTCATAAGTCTGCTGTACTGAAACTAACTTGTGTTAATAAAAATGATATAACATGATCTATAAGGATGCATGAAGTTTTAAATTTGCAAGATAAAAGATAGACACAGAATAAGAGGCTCACTGATGGAAAAGTTGTCACTTAGTCGATGAAGAAGAAAATGCAAGCAAGTAGTCTGACAATCTCTGTGATATTCATGTGGCTCCGCTTAAAGTATGCAAGAACAGGTATGTGTATGTAATTTTCACTTAACAAATTTCCCTTTCAAATTAAGGTACACATAAAATGTACTACTTAAATGAACTGTGGATTCACTTATATCACCCTGTGTACAAGGCATTAAGATGCGATGAGCTCTGTAGTAGAGCAATTAACCTTTGTTAATAAATAATCTAAATACAAGCATGCAAAAAAATTATATGCAACCCACATCTAACTTTGCTGTCAGTAGACCAAGGAAGATTGAATTTTTGGGGGGTACAGATGTCTGAAGGCCCATCACACTAGCACCATTTCACATTTCTGCATGAATCTTAGAGGCTTTCAGCATTCAATCCATAAACAACTCCCAAACAAAGATAGCAACGACCTCAATGATAAGTAGAATAAAAGAAATTCAAATAAACTTTACCACATATAGATAAAAAAAAAGAAGTTTTCTTTACATATGAATACGTATGAGAACGAGTATGCTATTCCTGAGGTCTAAATTTGAATCATTCCACACTTAATGGCTTACTCTCCAGTTGCTGTTGTGTCTGGGTACCTTATTACAGTGTGAGCCAATACCCATGCCTTGAATGAATAGGACTCCTTGGCTGACATATTTATTTATATGAGTGTCATGTAAGCAGTGTTTTTCTGCCAGTCTGATAGGATTAGACTATTTGCATGCAGAAAGTTCATACAGAA